GGACTACCTCAGACGGGCACTCCAATTCGAGCAGAAAATCTACTATGCCCGCGCTGCCTCTCTTAAAAGTTGTGGAAAATTTCGCCCCTCCCACCATACGAATCATCAGATTAATTAAAAGCAATATAATTTTTTGCGCTGTTTTTATCGTTTTGAACAAAAATAAGTATTACATTTTTAATAAAAGTGTCTGGTAGAATAGTAGAAAAGTTAACTGAAAAAGTCGGGTAATATAAACCAAGGTGCTGCTCGTGATACGACCAGCACATATCATGTATAGATACTGCTAAATCTCGAACGTTAGAGTTCTCATACGTTTGGCAACCTCGTACGGCACGGCCTCGCCCGCGACAACACAGATCGTGGGATAGCACCTTAAGCCATATAAATACTTTCGTTGCTGATCTATGTATCTGCAAATCTGCGCCAGATTTCAAAATACACCCCCGATTTCAACCATTGTAAGTCAATCGTGTTCATTACAAAATTATAGGATCGACGTATTCACACCTTCTTCCGACAGAACTCCAACATCTGTATGCTGTGAGTATGTCACAGCCTTTTCTTTTATAGTCGCAAAGATGTAAAATTGTTTATTTGTTTAGTTAATTTACTAGTCTCTGGCAAATCTTAACTTTACGAGACATTCCCACGTATTTAATCAGCACTTAGAACCGTTTACACGGTAGTAATAAAAACAGTAAGTAGGTATTTATTAAATCAAGTTTTACTTAGACGATGGCGACGACGTGACATACGCAAAACGCGATAAAGAGGTTTGTGTAAGGACTTATTCTTAACCACGTGTATTTTTGAATTAAATACTACTTATGTCATTATAACGAAGTTTATTACGCCTGTGACTCATTTAAGTTAACTGTTATACTTTAATATATCTACTGTTCACGGTTAAATTGTTCTACTTCCATAAAGTTGATGGTTAAAAGACTTGACTAGATATTAAAAATAATTTGTGATGTTAATAGTTGAACCTACTTAACTTAAATTCTGTCTGTACCGTACTTAGTTTTTGCCAACTATTTCAATTTCCTACTTAGCGTAACAAACTTTTATTTCAGCTTGAAGCTGCTTAATTTTAATATCTAAAGAAAATTTTACTAGATAAGATTTCACTAGATGCTGTATAAAATATACATCAGGACCATTCAGGGCAGTAGCCAGAGTTGTGTTTAAGATAGCGCAGCGCTAATTACAGCCTGCCGCCCCCTAGAACATTCTCCGCCCTAGTGTCATACAGTTTACTTTCAGAACGAATGTTAATTCAACTGGACGGCTAACCACCATAGGAAAAATCCCTAGCTACTCCAATGCCTAAGACTATAAATTTGATATAGCATATCCTTTAAGGTCTCGGTAGCATAGCGGATAGTAATAGCATCATCCCAGTGCGGATTGGTGGGTGCTAACGACTACAGATGCAACCAGCCCGAACCAACGGCTTAACGTACCTTCCGAAGCACGGAGGAACTCGAGATAGTAGATTTTTGGTCAGTCGTCCAATAACCGATCACTGCTAAAGTTGCTTAACTTTAACGATCGCAGCCAATGCCCTAACCACCTGCGCCTTCGAGCTACTTCCTTCCTTCAACCTAGTGATAGAAAATCAGCATGACCTTTGAGTTTACGGAATGTTATGCATTACGTTATGTGTACAATTACAACTACCTATCTCACAAACAATTTACTTCGAAAATGGTTTCATTTACATTTAACATGATTTCCGAAAATAACTGATGTGATGATGAAGTCCCACTCGATTCTCGATACAAATGGGAATTCCCCTTAAATAATTTTAATACTTAGCTTACAAATTAGAACTATGTTAACACGGTCCCAGATATGGGCCGCAGACAATGGTATGGCGTGCCTAATGGTAAGCGGTCATCATAACCTATAGACACAGATTACTTAATAGCTACCTAATAAAGACGCTTGCGATACCAAAAATATCACTCGCACAGTTGCCTAGCCTACCCCGACCCAATTTAATCCCCTTTCCGTGGAGCCCTGGGAACCTTACTCACTGACAGAAACACTTTACCACAAAAAAGTTGTGTGTTATTTTAATGTCTTTTAAATCTTCTGTAAGGTGGAGATAACTTCCACAGTGCTCCAATTCAAGCTTAAAAATTCGCTATGACCTACCTCTCTTAGATTTTCGCACTGCTCAACAATAAAGGCCACAAAGATACTGGTTAGCGCGACACCAGCTACCTCCACCTTACCGGCCTGAACCCAATCCCCTACGCCGTGGAGCTGGGGAAGCGACAGAAACGCAACACCACAAAACAAATGTGTTGTATTTTTATTGCGGGCTTCTGTAAGATGGATATCTATTTTCCAATTGGAGCGCTCCAATTCAAGCAGTAGTTGCTTTGCTTTTCACATCTCAAAATGGTATCGCAAAAGCCACATAATTTATCTAAGGTCTACGGTTTGTGACGTTAGGCCTTGTAAAGTTAGGGTGGAGGGCGTGTAGAGTTAGAATAGAAGTTTGGCTTGGCTCTACATGTAATTTGTTAACTTTTTGACAGTACGTTTCATCATGGTCTCGTCTGCACTATTTTACATAAAAAATCTTTACAGATAGTCTGTAATCTGTGATGAAAATGATTTTGGTGGGATTGTTAATCTATTTACTAAATTGTTTTAAAATATGTTCCGTTTCACATATCTATTCATTGGGGAATGAAATAACTGATAACAGTCGCTACCAGATGCACCGACATCGTCTGCGAGAGTGCTTTCAGTACTATTTTATCGATACCTAATATAATTACATATTTCTAGGTTTATGTCACGTTTAAACTTGAGAAGCAGTGATATTTTTTTTCTTACACTGGAATATATGATCTTGACCATGAAAAAGACTTACTATGTCCGATATACGCGATCTTTTTGCAATAAACCGTTTTTAACAGCATTACATAGGTATTAATAATTAAAAAAATATTTTGTGAGAACTAGGCAGTATCGACTTTATTTCCTTTACCTTCAAAAATGGTGAAAAAGAAATAAAATAAAAAGAACATTTAATTTTGGCATTGTTGCCAACTTAGTAAATTTTCCGCTAAAATTGGTTTCTGTTCTCCTTTAAGGGGTAATACATATATTATATATATATTTATATATTGCTATTAATGGGTGGTACTATCGCGGAATTTTGCGCTCTGTCACTTGGTGAACAAAATGCTTTGAACGGTTTTCTACAGTAGTTTTTACTACGCCCCGCCTTCACGTCGGATACGCCAATCCGGGCCGCCGCACAAAAGTAAGACAGAGAGCATTTCATTGATTGAATAATGAATTGAATTGCATTTGTTTTAGTTGCAATTTGTCATCCGCATCGTGATCGCGACAGCGCTATACGAAAAAGTAAGACAGCGATGATACATGTCTATGAATGAATTTTTATTACGCCGCTACCGCAAGCGATTATGGCATTATGGGTGACAGAGTGGGTTTTTCCGCGAGTGTACACGGCAAAATGTCGCTATGTATGTCTGTAGAAGCAGCTAGTATTTCATGTTTGACATTTGTCAGAAATCCGAATTAATGATATCGTAAGTGAGATTGCATCTTACAGAATACCTCTGCAGACCCTAATGTTATTAGATATATTAAACCTTCTTTGAAAAATAAAATACACTGAAGATATTATTTTTTTAATTTTTGTTTCTTATCCTATATATGATATTTTATGTGCAATTACTTTATACCCGTTATTGACAAACATTTTTACCATTGTCTCTCTTCAATGTTTCATGTTTCTCCAACAAGTTTTGTTTAGATAATAAACTGAGTTTCACCTTTGTTGGTGCTAAAAAAGAAAGCCAGCACAGCTGTCTTAAAAAATCGATCTTCGGAAGACAGAAAATGCGATGAGTTGGTGGATGGTGGATGATTTTCACATATACGTGCAATGACCGACACAATAGTTTCGCACACTGGCGGAACTAACAATGTCACAGGCCGGTCTATTCGCAAACTTTTTTGACATTTACTAACTAAAGAGAAAATTGCATATCCATCGATGCATTTCAGAACAAGTAGGTATCTTAGTAGCGTTATAATAAAGCAGTAGTGCATCACTAAATAGCTAGGTGATTATTACTTCCATCTGTCAAAAGCAGTTAGCGAATAGGCTTACTGGTTAGACAACACTGATTGATGGAATAAAATGATGTTAATTTTTGCATTTCTAAGATGCACTAGAAATCAATGGACTTTTTCCCTCTTTCTTAAAATTGCTTCATTCATTCCAATGCCAATGTTGAGATACTATAAAATTGCTTAATAGGCTAAACTGATATAGGTGATGCAGAGTAGAAAAAAGCTGCTGTGACATGTACTAGATTGTGGTTTATGATTGGAGGAAAAATGGAGCAACGAATAATAAATTACCATAAAATTGTTAGTATAAAATAAATCAGCACTTACCATAGAATCGTAGCAGTCTGAAACCGGCGATGCTAGTGTGTGCAGTAATCATTAATCTAAAGAAAAACGAGGAATTTGTTTAATTTAGATTAAAGTATTGTTATTAAATTTTGTGTCTTGATTTTGACATTCTATTTTCATGATTGTTATTATGTTAATACCTACGTATTAATAAAGAAAAACTAATTACTAGTGTATTCATTGTTCTTCTTAAAAGCTGAAATATGATTAGTGGAACTGAATATGAGCGAAGGGTCGTGTTTCGTATTTTATTTTTGTACTTTCTTGAATTTTTTGGAGAGCCAGTTCATCAATTGGCAACACCGGCACAGTCCGGTTGTCAAGTTGTCTTGTCATATTTAATTTGACGTGCAGGCAAAGTCAGCAAAATGCTAGCGTGTGCCATAAACATGTCCAGTGTATAAAAAGATAGCGATGACTGAAATCTGACTTACTTAGTCTGAAGTTGTATCGAAATTATGTTCTTTGTGAAGACATAAAGTGAAAACTTCATAAATAACTTTTAATAGTGAATAAAGATGATTACGGGATATGGTCCAGTAACACAGGCCCTTCTGGGGACTTTACTGACGTGGGGCCTGACTGCGGCTGGCGCCGGTTGTGTTTTCTTTATACGAGGCAAACATGTTCGTATTCACCGAATAGTAGTACAAGTATAATATATATGTGGTTTAAAATATAAATAAACCTTGACAACTTTCTGTTACAGAGAAAATTACTTGATGTATCATTGGGATTTGCTGCTGGTGTTATGACAGCGGCGTCATACTGGTCCTTATTGAAGCCAGCAATAGAAATGTGTGAAGAATCCGATTTATATGGTGCTAATGGACAGTTTGCGTTTGTGCCTATTGCTGCTGGATTCCTGTTTGGAGCAGTTTTTGTGTTTGGAACAGATAGGTTCTTGGACTACCTAGGAATCAACTCCACCAACATGATGATGAGTAAGTTTTCAATTAAATTTCCTATTATCTTAATAAACACAAGAGACTGTTTATCTGCGATAATAGAATTCTGAAATCCCGAAAACAAAACACGATTGCCAGAATATTGTATGGAAAGCGGGAGAAATTAATTTTAAAAGTAACTTGTTGATGACAAAAACATGCATTAACCCTTCAATTGCGGGAAAGCCTCCGCCTAAAACACCCCCCGCTTGCGGAACGATTGCGCGGCCGCAGCGCGCTCGACGCGGTTTGAAATTTATTCAATAACTTTAATAAATTGTTCGGTCGACATGCAGCTAAATGATTTATTTCAATTATAGATAGTCAATGTACCTTCTTTTTTAGTAATTTCCTATATAAATTGTTTCAACCTTTTTATTTTTAACAGGAAACGTAGGCAAAATCAATTTCGCACCTTAGGTGGCATAAACGCGATTTGAATAAATATACGAATACTTATGCTTTTCATTGATAACCTTTTCAAAGTTGAATAACTAAACAATAGATTTTTGCAAAAAAATAATAATACTGTTGTAATATAATGTTGTCAATAAACTGTTTTAAAAATTACTTTTTAGTTGCGGGCTCCGCGATGCTCGATTTTAAAATCGTCGTACTAACGGTTGTTTGATCATAAGAACGACTTCACCACAATGAGTGAATGGTTTATTCATCTGGGTATAAAATTCAAAAGACTTTGAACTGTATTGCATTGTATTTATTCCCAAAATTGCAAAAAATTTAATGCGGGTGACGAGCGAGCAGTTCTGCACTTACCCAAACGGGCTTTACTCACGAAGGTGTGCAGTGCTGCACTACAGCAGTTGAAGGGTTAAACTTGGATAGTAATTAACATTTCTGTAATTTAGACAATTTTAATCAATGGAAAGGTGATGACATTTTCCCATTTTACCTGAATCACTTTGAGTGCCTTTTTATTCATTGACAATGAGTACTAATTAAAATATAAACAAGATTTTTACTATTACCAAGTTGAAGCCACTGGCTAGTTGTTGTGTAAGAGGCCTCTCTTGCCCGCATTACTTATTTATTGTAGCATAATATGAATAGTTGACAAACTGCCTACTATCTAATTTGCCCTTGACTCGTACAGTGATTTCTTATTGAACTTTATCTTGAAATAATTGTCACTGATTAAGTAATTTGTTAATATAAACAAGTTGACTTTACAGCTTATGTCAAATGCATGCTTAGTTTCATTCCATTAAAACTAGTAAACAACACTATAACACATTATATTTTTATATAAACCTTGAAAACAACGTGAATTATTTCTGAAAAATTTCCATTATTCAAAAATCAGAAGAAATTAATATTTTTTTCTGTAAAGATTATTATTATATAACTTATTAATAGATTTTTTTTGAATTAAATTTAACATACTTTAACTTCATTATTATTAGTATTTGTGAGATGTATTCAATCTTGTACAATGTTATGGATTGTATTGATGGATTCATCCTGTTTTTTACATCAAAAGTAAAAATTCAAAAGGTATTGACATGGTTTTTGCACACTTTTAATTACTGCAACTAGACTGCTTGGGTTATCATGTTAAGTTGCAATACCCTATGCTCTCATAGGCTTACAGACCTTCCCACACTTTGGCACCCCCTAAGTAACTGCTGTTTAGCTAATTTTATTAGTGATTAAAAAATAGTTTTTTTTTATAAGTACATTAACAGCTCTTACTATAGGGGTGCCTTACAACTTCATCTGCATAGAATAGTTAGTCCTTCTTAAAAACTATCAGCTTGATGGCATAGTAGGTCTGAAATAGTGTAAGTTAACCAACTTATGCATTGACCGGTCAGTGGATGGATGGTGAAAAAGAAATTATTTTCTACTCCTCTTTGCTCCCAAAGGCACCTTAAGCCATTGCTTTCAGCCTGAGCCCTTATCCATCCATATGAAAAACCTGTGCCCAAGCAGTAGCAGATATTTGTGCTTATTGCAATGGCAAATGTTTTATTTTCTTGAGAAATAGTAGATTATGTCCTTTCCCTAAGTTCTGTTTACTTCTATACAAAAAAAGTTCACCAAGTGAAAGTCAGTGTACTTTCACATTTGTAATATGGAGTTAGCACTTTTCCAGCTGTGCATGCCAGGGCGGGCACCAAAATACTATGTTGCTGAAAATAATGATTATTTGCTGTGTAAACTCGATGCCTGAGTAACCCTTAGTGCGATAATAAAATGTCCTGGTCAAACTCTTTGCCTCTAACTCGACCTTGGATGATGGAACTTGAGTGGTGCTCAAGATACGCACCCCCGGGCTTATCCCTGTTCTATGTGGTTCTTCCTTTTCTGCGAAAATAACACTGTTTCGGCTTGCTCGTGCGCTTGAGGAGACAACTTAATATCGTCATTTAACATCAGGTGGGATGGAGTCATGACCTATCTATAAAAAAAGACATATCGGAACCTTCGAATTATAGGTCTATAGGGATCACATGATCACTGCTTTCTAAGCAGATAGAGCGGGTGATCAACACACGCTCTTTTGGCTACCTTGAGAATATATATGTATGTGAATTAATCTACTTGGTTTATGTAACTCACCGTTGGGCTGACGCCGTCGTGAGTAAGAGTGAGGCCCTTACAAAGGCCTGGATATAACCAAGGCGTTTGACAGGGTGTGGCATAGAGCACTTATCTTATTAGACTGTAAGATTTATCATCCTGGTCTACCCTCACAGCCTTTTGGCGTCCACGAAGATATGATGAAAACCAGGTCCCTACTGAAGAAGAAACTCCCAGATGTGAAAGGATTGCCAGGAGAATATCATAGTTAACCATGTTAAATGCGCTTGAGAAGTCAATGAGGACCATAACAGTTAACTGCGATTTCTCCATACTGTTACGAATGTCATCTAGGACATAGATAAGGACAGTGGTTGTACTATAACCAGGACGAAACCCAGACTGTAATGGGCTTAGAATGTTGTGGCGAAAGATAAAAGAGGAGAGTTGATTGTGGACAGCAGCTTCTAAAACTTTTGAAAGAAAAGGAAGTATAGATATGGACCGATAGTGGCTTAAAGAGGGGAACTATTAATTTTAGGAAGAGGCGTAGTTAGTGCTTTTCGCTAGATAGAAGGAAGGGTACTAGAAGAAAGCGAAAAATTAATAATTAAGGTGAGTGATAGGGATAATCATATTTCTGCCAATATCGTCACAACCCACCCACCCACATGAAAACAAAATAAATCACTCGTTGGGGGAGCCAAGGAAGTGATAGAGGAAACAGCAGAGAGCATTACAGGAGTAGAGAGAGAAGAAACTGATGAGAAATGCTTGTTATGCTCATCCAGTATCCCAAATGAAGACGGATAACTTATGGCTAAAGGTTTTAACGCAACCTGCAGTAGTTTGCGATATTTTTTTGTCGGTTACAGAAGACCTTAGTAAAATAATAAAATACATCCTTTTGGTAGTGTTGTGTTTCTGTCGGTGAATAAGGTTCCAAGGCTCCAAGGGGTAGGGGATCGTGTCAGGATAGGCAACGGTGCGAGTATTTTTTTTGTATCGCAAGCGTCTATAGGCTATGGTGGTCGCTTACCATCGGGCGGGTCATATGCTTGTTTGCCACCCTTTTAATAAAAAACAACATAATGAAACTTTACTAGCTAAGTATTTTATCCGCTCGCAATGAAATTGTATAAATTTCAAACCGACAAAACAAATGATAGACAATATGAAGGAAAAAAATAAATACTATATTGAACAAAGACGAATAATAAATTTTGCATACGATAAGAAATTTTAAGGCTGTGAAGAAAATGATGTTTAATCTTAAAATACATAAGAATGTACACGGCAATTTTGCAATATTTATTCCAAAACACGGCAATCCAGATCCCAAAACACGGCAACTTAAAGTTTCAAAATGGCAACCCTTACTAGAAGACAGATTCGAAATTTTAATGATTTATTTCAAAATAACCTATTAATCTCACAACCGTTTTACTTTCTCTGCATCATTATTCAAAAGAAAATGTGCCTGTAGTGAAAATTGATTCCATTCCTCTATTTTTCAGAGTTATTAATTGATCTCAAAAGGAGGAGAACCTCCTCCTCAATTCGTAATTATATATTTTTTATTGTTGTTTGTGCATATCTCAGAGGTTTGTTGACCAATTTTGATGATTCTTGTTTGTTTGAAAGAGTTTGTTAGCGAGATGGTCTCAGATTAGAAAGTATAAATCAGTACTTCACCAAATTAATATGAATTAATTTGGTGAAGATCTGATCTATACTTTCGGAGATAGACAACGGAACCCCTCAAATAAGAAGTGTACAAATATCGTGTTTGGTTATTTTACGAAATATTATGGCTGCCAGACATATATGTTTAATAAGTTTATTTTGGTCTGGCTTATAAAAAGTGAAAAATAGAAAACTTTTGTAACGAAAATTTAATGTGTGTACCTAATGTATTGACTGATCAGAACAAGGTGTAAATATGTGAGCGTTCCTTATCGACTCAAGCGTTTTCAATTATTTCTTTTTTAAGTATATTTTCTTCGTTTGTACTTAACCTAGACTTAGATTTGCGGTAGACATTTACGCTCACTTAGTTTTCTTCTAAGAGTACCTAATTGATGGAATGAAGGTTGTTATTAACCTGAGGTAATTTTATGCTGCTAATGTAAATTTTTAAAATTATATCCCTCTTATATCATCCTAGCACGAAATGCAAGCTTCAAGCAGTTCGTAGTAAACCTTTGATTTGATTTTATGAAATATGCGAAGGTCAATGAGAACAAAGGTAACGACTTTGTATAATTGAACCTCAATTTAATAAAGATAATAAATGATTTATTATTATCGTTATTAAATTGAGGGAAAAGTGATGGCACAAAAAATCTTTTAAAACTCAACCTAACCCCTAGTAGCTTAGAAGAGAAAAATAATTAATAATGAAAAATAATTTAGCACATTAGTAATAATACAATTACTTAAAATATAAATTG